CACGTGTGTTCACCATTTCCGTCCCTTTACCTCAAAAGTACGGATGTAACAGTTTGTAGATTTTGGGCACTTGCAGCACAATAAGGTCATATAAGTGCCGAAAGTACGTATTTTTGTATATTATATTATTCCATTGCTACGCCGCTTCTGTGTCATGCTTGCTGACTGCTGATGTGATGTACGTGCTGCTTACATGCCCTAACAATTGTTGTTGTTGTTGTTGCTGATGATGGTCTGTTGTTGCTGTTGCTGGTGATGATTATAGTATTTTTGGGGTTTATTTTTTGTTTGTTTTAATCATTGTTTTTATTATTGTTATTAATATCATTATTTCAAAAAATCAAGTGTGCTGTAAAGGCAGGCGATTGTTGAACTTATGTTGGATAGCTGAGGCCCTCGCATGGTAGGCCAGAGGTTTCTGGTTCGCTCCTCACATGAGGACACATGGAGTTTGTTTCAAGATGTTCTCAGTGCCCTGTCATATTTGAAAAGGGCATCAATACAATGTGGTTCTGTGTCTTTACTCGATCACTCAGTCTTGGTCATATCGGAAAGGGACATCATTTCAGTGAATTTTAAATCTCCTTTGTTGGCTGGAAAGAGGCATTGTGCTCTGAATTGCTCTTTATTTAAGCGTCCATGGTGTGCACGTTTTTTAGAGAAGTTTTTGTAGATTGCAAAGAGGAGCGATACTGTCACACAACTGTAGAACAGATAGTATAGTTTGCAAGTCTGTCATGGTGCCGCCGATATGGCATAACTCACTTTTTTGTTTCACTTTTGAGATAATCGAGAAAAGTCGATAATATATTGTTTTATAACACTCTCTTGTAATTAAAAATGGAAATGTCTAAACTTAAAATAACTGCCTGGCACTTTTGGAGAAAAAAAGTATAATATTAAATAATGCACCTAAACCCTGAAGAGAAGAATTATAAAATGGTTACTTTCCATTATGGCTTAAGTCTGACTTGTGCCATCATAATGGCAGCACCATGGCGACGATATTGTATATTATTCAGTCTGACGACTTCCGGGGCACTGGTTAACAAGTATGTCACAGTAGGGTGTTTCTTCGGTGTTTGAGTCAACATTACTTTTGATTTATGGCTTCCCGTCTCCTGACAAAAGGAGACAGGAAGTGAAAGAAAGAAAGAAAGAAGGAATACGAATTCCGGTGGTGGTTTGCTATAAAAGCCGGGCTGTTCTCCTGCTATTTGAGCTGTCTAAGGCGAGGGTTCTGTTACAACTGATTTGAAAAGCGGACGAGAAACGAGTATAAAAGAGCATCAAAACAAACACGTATTGTGGCTTTATAAATAAACTATGAATAATTCCGTTGGGTTCTGTTCGGTCAGGCTGCTTCTTCTTTTCCACATCGATTCTCGTCTCTTATCATTATAAGAAAACGTAACACACGGGCAAAGTGTCGGTGTGATACATGAATTACGTTGCCTTGTCAAGTCCAGTATGGTAGGCTATACATACGCAGTGTGCCCTGGTTAAGCATTACGGACTTGTCTGTCTGTCTGTATGTCTGTCTGTCTGTCTCTTTCTCCATCCCCCCCTCTCTCTCTCTCTCTCTTTTTCTCTCTCTCTCTCTCTCTCTCTCTCTCTCTCTCTCTCTCTCTCTCTCTCTCTCTCTCTCTCTCTCCCTCCTTTCTATCTCTCTCGTATGGAGTTAAAATGAAGTCCCCAGACAAAAGTAATTATAAGCTCTGTAGATTCCATCTCTGTTCAGCGACAAGACGGTTATTAGTTTACAAGACGGTTCGCTGCTTTAGAGAAGTAGCTGGCAGAAATACAAAAAGCATTAAGGTCTAAAAGAGAGGCCTGGCAGGGTGAAATGATTTGGATGAAATTAAATAAGTATGCTTTCTTCCTTTAACGATACAAACGTGCGGCATATCGTGTTCTCTAACTCGTCTTTTTTTTAATCTCTCTGTCCCTGTCTCTGTCTCTGTCAATGTCTCTATCTCTCTCGTTCCATCTCTCTCTCTCTCTCTCTCTCT